TGAAACATAATTGTACATCTAACCCTTAACTGTACCCCACAAAACCATAATAAAAAATATTGATTTAATTAAAAAAATTTTTTGACCAATTCCTATATTAAACTCTGTTAAAATTACTGGTGTGATTTATGTTTTCCCAACTATACTCACACTGATACACTCATTTTGTGAAATTTGGTGAAGTGAACCTATTGCAAGATGGGAATGTTGAATATAAGAGTCACACTTTTTTCTTTCAGTTAGATAATTTGTTCCTGCCAGGGATTTGTAATGTGCCAATAATTGTCATGTAAAAGGCATGTACTGTTCAGTAGTGGAGAGATGACCCACCCCAATATTGGCAGAGTCTTCTTGCCAGATGCACCAGATGTGAGACCCAGCAGAGATACATAAAACTCCACGGCACAGGGTCGAAGAATTGGCTGTGGGGGAGTAGGCATTTTACTGTATTGCTTCTGAAGCTTTTTTGCTGCAGGGGTCTTCACTCAAATTTGGCTACCAGTCTTGTGACTTGGTACACAGATATTTGAGTAATATTCTTAGGTGTGAGAGATGCAGTCTCTAATACCCAAAGAGGCCCAATGGGACACAGACCTCCTTTTTTGTAGCGTCTGGAGGCCAGCACTTTTTCTTTATTAAGCGATGGAATGTCTATTTGGGCTACTGTTCACATAGTCCCCAAAATACGCATTTGAATGGCCTGACTCTGACCTCTATTCTTATTGTGGACAGCTGTGCTTAGAGAGCATGCATTACAGTGAGAATTGCAAGAGCGCTCTTTAATCCGGATTTCAGTTGATTTAAACCAAAAGCAAACTTGGCTCAGGTCTCGATCCTCTGCCCTCTTAAAGAGGATGCTAACTTTCTGCCTGAAACATTAGGTGGGGGGAAGGACTCACTAGACCTAGAATTAACAAATACTGGAGCCCAAGAAACCCATTCTTGGACCTAATCAAGTTCACAGTAAAATGATGGTTTCCTCTGTCAGGGTCACTATCGAACTGTCATCAATATAATGAAATGAACTTGCACAACCCATTACTGATGTATCGCAAATATTAAGTATTGCTGGAGGAGTGCAAAATACCCAAGGCAGGACAGTATAGGTGAACTTCATGTTCTGCCAGGTGAAAGCAGCATCATTTTTTTCTTCCTAGACAAATCTGGAGAAGAGGACATTAGTAGCATCTAGGGCAGTTCTGCCCAACTGAAATACAATGTGAGCCACATATGTAATTTTAAACTATCTAGTGTTCACGATTATAAAAGATAAAAAGAGATAGGCACAATTAATTTTATGACACATTTTAACATAAACAGAACCAAACAGATCCAGAATATTGATATTTCAACAGCTAAATATACAAAATAGTAAGGTATTTTTCATTCTTTCTTCCAAACTAAGTCTTCAACGTCTGTTGTGTAATCTACACTTTTAACATGTTTCAATTCAGACCAGCTACATTTCAGGCACTCAACAGTCATATGTGGCTAGTGACTGAATACCTAGACAGCGCAGCTCTAGGATATACCACATGCCAGTAATGGCTGCAACCAGTTGTCATCTGTTAGCATAGGCGCTGTGAGTGCCATGGTGGTCACTATTAAGACTCCAGTGACCCATAATGATCCTTAATTAGGGGCTAAGAACACTAGATTTGTTCACTGGCTAAACAAGTCTGTGGAACTGGACGATAGTGTGGTTTACCCCTCTCTCCTGCCAATACCAATAAAACTTGCATAAGAGGAATGTTTTCTTTCTGGCCTTGTGCTATGTGACACGGCTTTTAACTGCACAATCCCGGTGGGCTTTGGAAGTGTAGGAGGCTCTGCAGACTCAACAGGACTAATTTACAGCAGTCACTAGGATGGACTGCCATGTCTGCACCCACCCAAATGCTTTGCTTTGCTGGGCCAAGGGGACCCAACAAGTCCATACAATTATGCAGTCTGACAAAGGGATGGTAAGCATGGTCTTAACAAAGAAGGCAACGGCATCGGCAGTTAATTGTGCTGACTCTCTTGGTTCTAATTAAAACCAAGTTCCAAATCCTGCCAGCGACATTATTTTACTGTGGACTTGATTAGGTCCAAGAATCAGTTTCTTGGGCTCCAGTGTTTGGTAAGTCTAGGTCTAGTGAGTCCTTCCCCACCTAATGTTCCAGGCATAAAGTTAACATACCCTTTAAGAGAACAGAGGATAGAGACCTGGACCAAGTTTGCTTTTGGTTTAAAGAAACTGAAATCCCGATTAAAAAGCCCTTTCGCAATTTGACTAGAAAATCAGTTCTCCAGGTGGCAAGGAGGCCTGTGGGGCTGGGGCTTGTCTGAGAGTCTTGTTTCAGTAGTACTAACAGTGGCTAGCTAACCACCTAGCTTCCTCCCTCTTGACCTTTCTTCAAGAACAGCAGGCTTTGGAGTTTTGCTGGCCAGGCAGTAAGGAAAGCTAAGTGCCTCCACCACAAAAGGGAATCTTCCTACCCAGGACTAACTTGCATCAGTATGGGAGGCTTCTTAACGCCTACTCTAGTTAGCCACTTTTGTTTCCTGTACCTTAGAGTGATTCTTCTCTTCCACTCATCTCCTTAGCTAGTGATCCCTTTGCTCAAGATCAAGAGTCATAATGCACAGCCTGAGGAAGCCTCCAAAAGATGTCTGGAGTGGCTCTTTTCCCCTGCCTTTTCATTTTTGCTGAGACTTGTGTTCTCTTTCCAGGGTCCCTTATTTCATTGTCCCCTCTTGGGTGGAGCATACATCATCCACAAAGGATTATCTCATCCTTTATGCTATGGCAGAAAAAATAAATTTAGGGATGTCCTCACATAAAATCTCATCAACTTGTCTAACATTCTCTGAATTAAGGTCATTTAGTAACATTATCCCAGATGTTCATTTTCATACATTCATGCTAAAATGCCAGTGTCTCAAAGTAGCTCTAACCTCAGTAGGGTTGTTTCCATTTTGCATTCAGTATCTCAGCAAGTCTTCCCTTGGTAGTTATGTGAATCTGATCTCCCTGAGCATCCAGTTCGAGAAGAGAGAAGGCCCACTTGCTCCCTTCCCATTGGTCAGCCTAGCCAATTCATTAGGCAAGATAATCCCGTGATAAACCCCAAATGTTTGCCATTCAACTTCACTTGCTTCATGAGTGTAAGCACCTAAAGCCTCAAGGGCCTCCTATGATCACTGCTGGGAGTTCAATTCTGTGTGTTTCGAAGGCTTTAGGCTGTACCTCAATTACCCCCAAAGATCCCTGGGTGGCACACTGCACAATGACAGGTCTTAAACCTAAAAGGTTAGGTTGCATCAATTGTTCCAATGACACTTGCGGGAAGGGGCAAGGGCTCTTTCCTCCCCAACTTCTTTTTCCTTGGGGCTCACAAGGACTGGCAGACCTAGAGTGCTAAAGGATCAATCTGCCTTACATAGTAGACTTTCCAGGATCTTGGTGGTACATGGGCATAAATAAGCACCACGATGACATGTTCACTGGTGATTTTGACTGTTTTTCTGCCACCAGCCCAAGGAAGGATGCCATCCATCCCTAGTATGGCTCAGTTGATCCTTTGTGCAGTTTCCAAAAAGCCAGAGGTAGAATGAGTAGTTTGCCTCATGTTGGGCACCATCTGTGAAGCAGTGGGCTAAGGCAAACCGCACAAAGTCACATAGAAGAAAACGGTTCTAAGTGAGGAAAACTTGTCAGCAAAGGGTCAACAAGAAGAGAAACATGAATACCTTTCTCTTGTGCAAAGGCCAGAGCACTGCTGGCTGCACCGTGGGTCTGTATTCCAGGGGAAGGATATTTCTTCCCTTAAAGTCTACCTTTCCACAGTGGAAGGCTTTCTCACTAGCATAAAACCCCTTGGCATTAATAAATGGATTCCCACTGTTTTTTATGCAAAGTTCTGAGAAAAATTGAAAAACGTTTGAAATGGCACCAGATGAATACAGAGAAAAACATGGTTGATATTTAAATTCTGGTACCCGTTGAGCCTCACAAGTAATCAAGACCGGCACATAGTGATGGCTATTTCAGGATAACTGGTTATCAGAGGCATCTGAGGTTCATGAGGCTACTTATGGCCATGAAACAGAAACTGGCTCAAAAGGGGTGAGAACCAGTACATTGACTTTAAAAGGCACTATATTCCAAATGACCAGGAGTTCTAAGACCACTATCAGATGAGAGAAATGTCTCTGAGTGCACCACACTGGCTGCTGGCTGCCACCCTCAAGGGCAGCACTCAAAACTGTTATGAAAAAAATCCAAGTTACTTGACTACAGGTAGTTTCTTCCTACCTACCCACTGCTGATGAACTGTGCCCAGCTAGGCAGATGAGTAACAGAGAACCAGAAAAGTACTACAGTGAAAAACTGAAAAAAACAGAAAACAGAGGTACTTTTCTGGGGGGGGGGGGAAACAATATATATATATATAATGTAGAGGGAACTTGTCTTGCACCATTTCAGATTCTAATACCAGGGAGAACTTTTCAACTTTTCCATTGTCACCTCTCCATTTGTACCTTTTTAGGTAGTAGGCTGTGCCACGGTTCCTTGAAGTGACCACAACAGCCAATTTCCAGGCACATCCTACCTACAAACTTGACATTTATTATTGAGATGCTGATTATCAAAAGATTTTTACAACATAGACCCACTTAATATTTTCCAAAAGGCAGGGCATAGGTATGTTTATGTATGCACAGACAGGAGCATATGTTTAATATGGTTTAGTTTGACATCTTATGTAATTAATGTGTTAAAATTTTCTATCTGGGAACATGGAGAATTATTTTCAAAAATCTTCATTTTTGTCTTTTATGGGCACATATGAGATTATTTGTAATACATACTTGCATGATTAACTCCCCCCAAATATCATTAATTTTTGTCATATTTAGAAATGTAAAACCAGGAGCAAACATCTGTCAGACTAATTTTTTGCTTTTTCATAAGTGCAACTTTTTAATAAAAATTTACATCTAGATAAACAATCTTCAGATTTTTGAAACTTTAATAAGATTTTAAAAACATCATGACTTTGAACTGAAAAACATACACGTTTAGCACACAAATATTGTAATATGAATCAACTCCAACTCCATTTGAAAACATGTGAATCAAATTACAGTTTTAGAAGTTAGTAATTCACATTTAAGCAAGTTAGCGCCTTGTTGACTTCAGCCTTTGTAAAAAAGAGACTTAGTGCATATTGTAATGGTACATTGTATTTTTGTACCATTTGGTTCATTTTTTTCACTTTATTAAACAAGATTAAGTTCTTGAAAGTTGGTAGATAACGGCTAACTTCCTATGACGTGAAATCTCCAACGGTAACAGTTACATTTTGTAACAGAACACTTTCTATAGATTTCTTTTCCTATCTTAAAATTTTAAAAGCAATCATTTGTAAGGATTGCATCAACATCAATTTAGCAGAGGAAGATCAAACTTTATTGAAACTGCTTGCATACAAAATATATTGCACTATAACCAAACGAATGTCAACATAAAATCCAATCTGTTGTCGCTAATATGTACAGAGAATATTGCCCAAGAGCAGTTACATTACAAGGTCATTCTACCTTGGTTAATTATCTACAGTATTTTAAACCAAACAGCTTACAGATGATGTGTGCAAGGTACCAATTTCTGTTTTCAAATACTATACATTCCCAGAATAAATAACTAGAAATCAACATTAATGTTTGGCAATACTTTTTAAAAGACTTTTTAATATTTGTGAAATCATGTGCAGTTTGTTGCCATTTTTATATGCTTATTTGTATGCAAGGAAAAGTAACTAAAATGAAAATTCAAAGAAACAAACTCACAAAATACATCAGAGGCAGAACTTCGGTTTGTACGGCTCTGTACAGATTCAGTGGTACCCCTACTCGGAGTTATTTTTTAAGAAAAATATAACATCTTAGAGTGAAGGTCCTTCACATATTTTTCCTCAGTAAATTTCATTCATTAAAAAAAAAAAAGACTCAAAAATAAAACCAAAACCCAACACATCAAAAAAGAAAAAAAAGTATTATATGTTACCCAATCCTAGTCTGTTTTCCAATTTTGCTTATACATTAGACCTTACATTTCAAAGTTTACAAAACATTTAACCTGCTTCCAATGATTTTTAGACAAAGTACCTGTACTTCACAGGATTACTATGCATACATGGAAATGACCTTCCTATCTCTCCAAAATAAGCTTGAAATTAAAATATGAAAAACTTCACAAAACTTGGGGAAGACAAAATAAAAAAGGCTGTAAGTTAAAATTGGTCATCAGGCCAAAGAGCAGGCATATCCTATTAACTTTCGACCAGGAAGAGTTGTTCCTAGCTGAAAACATTTTAGCCTCTCTCAAATGAAAAGATAGTTATTTCTTCTCCTGTCTATACAGAAAAATTACACATCCCTCTCAATAACACTATATGTCAAACTTCAGTGCAACAAAACAAAAACAAAAACAAGTCCTATTTTTTATACTGCCTAACCTGATGTTTATGTAAGGAAAAAAATATGGAAAGCATGCATACTTCTATAAAGTACTAATGTTTGACAGGGTTTGCTACATCTTTAACATTTAGTGTTTCCAACTTATCTTCCCTGAACTCTGCATCCAAATATAATATTCCTACCTGCCAAGATATAAAAAAGGCACAGATCATACAACTTTTTTTTTTTTTGCTAATGAAAATGACAAATGTCACATCACACACATTTCAGGGTCCACTAAAATACTGGAAAAGTGGACCAAAACATAAACAGACACAGGACATGAAATGGCATAGCATTTCATGGAGACTTCTATTAGAGATTTAAAACAGAAGTCTAACATGATTACCATAAATGCTATTATTCAGAAAAACTAAAAATGTACTGGTGAGTTATTACTCAATGCAGGAAAATGGTCGAAATTAACAAAGAGTATCACTGCTTGGTACTTTAAAAAATAAAACTAAAATCTGGCCCTGAAGTACTAAGTATACTTAAAAGCAATGTTTCAAATTTCAAGGTATCTTTTGGTACAAATCTTTAAATTGTTGCTTATGGCCAATACAAAAAAAAACTTCTTAGCAGAATTTGTGTTCATTTCATGCCCTGTGCCATCTTGCCTACTATTTGTCTTTGGCCTAACAAAGTTTTCTAATATGGAATAAGAATTACAGAAATGGTATAGGAAATATAACTTCGGAATTATGCAGTTTAGGGTACTCCATTCACGAGTGGTTGCTGGCCATCCACGCTGTCTGGCTTTTCCTTCTTCTGGTTACGCTCTTTACCCGTGCGCAGCCGATTACCTTCACTGGAGGTATTCTGTAATGTTTTAGTGTGGACACTCCTTTCATTATTGCAGTCAACTCTGATCTAAAACAAGTTATAGTTGTTATATATACACACCATATCCTATTGTAATCTGTAATTGGCCTGACAAGAAACTTAAACCTGAAGTGCAAATTTCATGTGTTAAAAAGGAAAATGGAGATGAAAATAGAAGAAGTGCAAGAAATTAAGGTAGGACAAGATCTTTATTTGGTTTATGATTTTAAAACACTCTTCTTTAACGGGAACACATTGGTCATCTCACTGCATCCAAAGTTAGAGAAAAACAATCCTACCGTGTCTTCTTCTAAGCAGAATAGAACAGCGAGAAACAAACAGTTAAAATGAGTGATTATTACTGATTGTCAGAAGATATACATGCCTCTATACTTCAAAAAGATTGTGAAACCCAGGAGGGACACAAAATAATGTCTTCCTATTCTGACTTCACTCGGATAAGAACTCAACTAACTAGCCTTTAGTTTATACCTCTTTTTAAAATCTATCATAGGCATGACTGATTTCCTCTATACTGAGTGCTCCCATCATCTTACAGTAGAAAAATCAGTGTTGCTTTCTAGTAGTTTGTATTTCACTAAGACCACTCAGATGATCCTACAACTTGAACTTTGAAGAACAGAATGATATAAAGAAATCTGAAGATAATAATTTGTGGAAGAACTAGAATCCTAGGGGAATATAAAGATTAATGTGATTTAAAAAATAATATTCTAGGACTTAAAAAATATTGTTAAGTGCCAACACTAAACAGAACACTGCTAATAGAATTCCAAATGCTACACAAACAAAAGATAATAGACAAATGGATCTAATACAGCTACAAATATTGATCTGCTTCAAGTACAAATGCTAAAAATATCCCTAGATAGTTGTAATTTCAAAGTATGTTTAAGTGTTGGGTACAGGGTGTGCATTTTAAATGTTCAATTGCCAAGGATTCAGTGCTTTGATTTGTACTTACTTTCATACTTACATACAAAAACCATGTCTTATTCAGTATTCCTTTTTATTTATAAATATAATTACAAATATGCATCCCTTTAGCCAATGTGGTCAGGCTGCTAAGTTCATCAAATATGCCAGTTTAAGAAGGGAATTACAAAACTGGTACGTAAATACCTTGTATCTTTGTAAAGGGCATGCATGTATGTTAATTCATCCATTTATCTAGGTCCAAGGACTTTTCTATGCTGGTCCTTAAGAACCCACCAACAGTTCACTCTCATTCAGAGCCGCTATAAATTCTAAGGAATAGTCCATCATAAAGTTTTTGTTTTAAAAAGTATCTCTCACTAATCTTGGGTGTTGGCCCCAAACCAATCCACAATTAGGAAGGAACCCTAACTACTTGGTTTAAGAATTTAAAGTTACAAAGAAGTGAGACAACACAGATTCTGAGAATCAGACACCAGGGCTCGATTCTCAGGCACCATATGCTAGCAATGTGACCATGGGCAAAGGACTAAAGCTTAAATTTACTCACCTATAAAATGGAGTAATAAAACTACTTACCTCAGTGGGTTGCTGTAAGATTACATGAAATAAAACATACACAAAGCACTTAGCAAAGGTGCCTGAATGTGCTTAGCGGGTAATTTTAAAATTATTTAACAATAGGTTCAGCATTGGTGATGAATGACTGAGAAGGAAGGGTTCCACAGAACCAGACCCTGGCTGTGAATAAGCAACTCACTGAGTGGGCAGGAGACTAGCTGAGTATCATCAGGCCTGTCTATTATGATTAGTAGTTATGAAAGACAAATTGTCTTTTTCTTACTTTCTGGTTAAGGAGAACACTCTATCCCTGGAATTCAGGGGAAAAGGAACCCACTGGACTTACTCAGGTCTCTAAGTACATTCCAGGATATTCCTTTTCTTGGGGAACTGGGGGTCTACCAATGCAGTATTAACACCATCAATGTGGCAGTCAAGGTCTTTACAAATAATTACTTAGACTGCATATTCTCTAGAGAGAACCTCTCATTTGTATACTTGTCACAAAGGACTAAGATTGCCCACAACTGTAATGTTGAAGGAAAAATATGCCACATAAACCAAATGTGCACTCTTTGAACACATTTAAAATAAAGTAAAATAAACTCATTAATCTCAAACTACCATATTCAAACAATTTAGATGAAAAGAGGTACACAGGTTTTACCTGAAGGGATCCATCAGCTGTTCTTCCTTTAGCCTCTCTTGGATTACGTGGACGATTATCTGTTCGGGAGTGATCGTCGTTTCCTACAGGAATATTTTCAAAAGGTTCAACAGTCACTGATTCTGAAATACATATTGTAAATTCCTTTTTCCAGTATTCTCTATTTAGATCAACCACAGAAAATGAAATATAACCAATAGCCTAGTGATTCCAGTTATGTAATGGCTAATAATCTAGTCCACTGTCAAGCAACAGAAAATATTTCAAAGGTATTGCAAATCCGCATCAACTGACTTACAGGTCAATCTGAGTTAACAATCAGATGCTGTTTAGAATCTCCAAAAAAGCTGAACTAATCAGTGTTTATTTATACATTCGATATGAACCACAAGGAAGGCTGCCTAATATGCTGTTGCTACACTAAATGGAAGGCTGATCCTTTCCTATGGTGATAAGCACAAAACAGGAAAGATGGAATCTTTATAAAACTTCACTTTTTCATGGGAACTTCAGACAGTTGTTACAATTCACCTTAATTTCTTAATGAAGATCCCTGTACCTTTGAAGCCTCCTCCACGTCCTCTTCCTCCCTGTCCTCTTCCTCCCCCTCCACGCCGCCGTCCGTCTCCTCTGCGCAGGAAGCTCTCCCTCTCTTCCTCTGTTGGAGCTAATGACCAATCACTGAGTTCGTCTCTGTGGTCAGATTCTGTTTCAGAAGCATTTGATGCTTCAGAATTAGTTCCTATCGAGAGTTAAAAGTTATATACCGTTGTCTGACTTAAAAAAAAAAAAAAAGAGGTTAACAGAAGCTTCCAGAGACGTTTCAGGGGTAATCCAATACACTTCCCAATTTACAAGCCCACCAAAGAGTATCATCACCTTCCAGTTGGTAAAACAAATTATTTTAAATTCAAAATGAAGGGATTTGCAATATTTGAAGTAATTTTGGTTATAAACATCTTGGGTTCTCATTTTTTTAAAAAAAGGTATTTTATTAGCTACCTAAGTTCAAACTTGAGTGTGTCACATCATTAAACAGCTGAGCTCCTTCAAACATCTGTGCTTTCTGGAGGAAAAGTTGTCTACACAGGTAAATGCAATACCTTGAGATCAACAAAATCTCTAGAAAGAGAGCTCCTTTTAGTAAGAGTTGGCCCAAGGACAGAGGGAAATGTATAGAATTTGATCATTTCTGAGAGGGTGGCAAAGAAGGCTACCATGGCAACTGCCTCAGGGAAGGGTCTCGAGGGGGTCAGGGCTGGACATTGCTGAAGGGGGATATGCTTGTCTGATGCTTGGTCCACAACCTTCCCTCCCACTCGCACTGCAATAGTTGATTCCTACTAAAAAAATTACTATAATAAACGCCTTATGCATGAGGGGGTCAACGACTTTGGGGCTGGGAGTGGGAAAAAGAGCTCCACAGTGAGGTGGAAATTCATTGGTAAAATAAGAGACTGTTGGGAGAGGGAGAGGGGTTGGGGTTAGGGTCAAGGTTGGCCTTAGAAGTAGGTTTCTCTCCCCAACTCCAGAATATCAACTCTACTACCTCTCTCTCTTCCTCTGTTGGAGCTAATGACCAATTATAGCTTCACCATTATAGCTTCACTCCTGTGGATCTTGAAGGCTTTTTCCATCTTAAAGAGTTCCTTTTTAAAATGCAAATATTTGTGAGATGGATTATACCTTACACCATCATTAGCAAGTTACATAGTAGATACACAGTTGAGCAAGAAAGACAGTAGGCACCGGCAGATGGGGACAGGGTTCACTGAAAGGTACTGGGAGAGAAGAAAGAAGCACGGACAGAAGAGCTGGAAAGGCAAAGAGAAACTTCGCCTACTTCTTGACTGTGCCTAGGGCTGACTTTGGCCATGCCACTCAAAATCACCTTATGAGTCATAGGATGCAGACCCCTGATTTACACAGTCCATCCATCAAGTATAACTAGCACATGCCTGACAAAAAATGAGCCACAGTACATAAATAAAAAAAGTTTTGGCTATACAATAATAAAATCAGAAGAGACCTTAAGAAAGTCATCAACGCACAAGGGCTTATACAGATTTATCCCCAATCGGAACATGGACAGAACTCACACCTGCCCTGTGAACTCTGTGTTATCATCAGGCTTTTACTCTATATGTCTCTTGCAACACAATTTGACCCACTGCGAATCAGAAATCATGTAGTGAGAAATTGTTATAATGGGGTTCTAATGAATATTAGAGATTAGCAGCTATTAAGTCTAGGAACAGATAAAGTTACTGAGTAAAATGCTTAGTTTGTACCTGAAGTATATCCAGGACCGCGTCTGCCGTGCCCCCTATTTCTGTAAGGTCTACTACCTCGACCCATTCCTTGACCATCATCAGTCACATAGCCTTTTTCCTTATCTGTACGATTTGGTGGTGGTCTAGAACTAGCTCCAATCTGTCGCAACTGCTCATCAATTTGTAATCTCTCCAAACGCAACTGGTCTACTTCCTATTTAAAATATACAAGATAACAGTAAAAATAATTTGACATTTTACTTAAAACCTTTCTCCTTTTCATCAGATAAAAAGTATACTGGAAATACTTAAATTTCAGTTCTAAATTTACAGTAAACTGTTACGCAGAATTATTAGGAAATTGAATTGTCTCCTTAAAAAGAAAATTACTACAGATAACAGATTATTGATGTCCAGATTAGATAAAACAAAAATACTCAGAATTAAAATTATACTGAATAAAATTGAAAGTTGTTTAATTTGGTACTATTATCCAATTATTCTATTGCTAAGGCATATATATATGCTAGTCTGGGGACTTTAATGATAGGATATTGAATAAACAACACTAAAATGTATGAATACAGATAAATGACATTTAAGGTTTAACTTGCTAACCTTAAAAATCACACATTGTAAATAATCTTAATTTAAATAGATTTGTCAGTTAATATCTTTATTTATAAAGCATTGAGTTTGTGTCATCTTTTGCTTTAAAAGAACATATACTATGGTAGGTCTTTGGATGTGACTATACAATTAAGGAACAGTTATTTTTCATGAACTGAAAATGCTAATATTCCTTATGAGAGAAAAACACTATATAGTAGCTGACCAAAAAAGCTAGATTTTACATAATCATGCCTTGAAAACATCTCAAAGACTACAACTCTGCTAGAACAAGTATGACAAACAGTATACATTCAGCTGACTGAAATATACACCTGGGGTCCATTGAAAGAACCTGAAACAACAGTGCTTCCAATATGTTGGGTTGTTAAATCCAGAGGAAATCTCACTTCTAACCTTTGTCTCTCCAATCTACCCATAAACATCTCACTAACTGGCTACAGGAAATCATATCCACAACTATGGTAGTACTGGGTATCTCAGTCAAGCAGTCATCATTGAGACTGTCTATATGAACAGTCACTGAAGAAGTTTCTAAAAATCTTGACTGTGGCAGCTTCTGGAAAAGAAAGATCAGTAAGGATCTAGATGAGTTTCATCTGTGCTCTGAACCAGAAACTGTTTACATAGGATTTGAGCAAAAGAGAGACTTCAGCTGAATGAGTGGCTTCCTCCAAAGGTCTTGTGATAGCTCATGGAAATGAGCATGTCTTAGAAAACAAATTAAAAATCCAGGCTAACCCACTGAGGCAAAGCAATCACCTTTTGGTGAGAGATGCCAGGCCCAAACTAGTGAAGATATGGTGATGAAAAGAATGTCAAATGGACAGCTGCTGATAACCAAAAAAGATATTCAATTAGGAAGAATAAATAACAAGATCTAAGAGAGAGTATTAGTCAAAAGAACAGGGATTTGATATAATGCAAACGTAACTCTCCAGATCTTCATAATTATTTAAGAATATGAAAACACATACAACAGATTACACATAAAACACACTGTAAAACAAAAACAAATAAGCAAATCAAAGAGGTATCCTACTCATGCAAACCTTGCTGGATGAAACCTTCCCACTTTTAATTATTAACTGACCACAATAAGAATGAATGACGTATCCAGCTATTACACTTTTCCATCCTTTCACTCTTAGTTACATACAAGTAGAAATCATCTATTTTAATTCTTTCAAAAAGTCAACAAAAAAAGTTTAAGACAGTACCATTAATAAAATGGAACTGAACTGCTGCTTAAAAATATTTAATACCTGCTATATTATAATTTTGATATGTATGGTTATAAAGAAAAAAATTATACAAATGAAGCAGATAAGATTCCATTTCATTAAATTATAGAGCATTTTTGCCAAAAGGAATTTCAAAAATCATCTAGTGTAGAAAAGTGACTTGCTTCAAGTCACATAGCTAGTTCATTGGCTGAAGTGAGACTACAGGCAAATCGCTGGATTGCCAATCCAGTGCTCTTTCCACCATACCTGGTAGCTTCCTGGTTCCTACCTTCCATTTTATGATCTAGGAGGCATAACTATACAGACATCAACTAAAACAGCCATTCACAAGAGGACACAAATACTTTATATTCTGAGTAACAGTATAGAAAAAAATGCAAAAGGTAAACACTTAGAGGACTTCATGAAATGCTAAGATTTCCTTGATAAATGACATAAAAGGGACAATAAAAGTAAGTGTTATAGACACAAATTTTGGCCTGGAAAAAACTCACAAAAGCTAGAAGAGATCAACTGGATTAAAAGGCTGCATACAGGATTATCTAAATTGAGTGTAAGGGTTTAACAGAAGACTAAGGAAAAACAGGACATTTTATTGAGAACGATTTATTGGTCCTTAAATTTATGATGAAAACCTAACTTGTCATTTTAGAAGGAATATAGACTAAACATTTTCTTGATTTTCTTTTACAAGTCATAAATTGTTAGGCACAGGCTAGAAAGAATCCTACCTGCTTAAAGATTTGCTATGAGGTTTTTAATAATTTAGTGTAAAAGAATTAAAAGTTAAAGATCTTCCTGTTCTCACCTTTAAATAGTTCAGGTGATAATCCAAAAGAACAGTGGCATTAGCGATGCTGTCCTTTGTTCCCACAAAAACAAATGGTACCATACCCTGAAAAAGAAATGGAAACAATTATCCAAAAAATTAATGATGGAATAATCTGAGAATGCAAATAATGACTAAAACCCTAGTAAAGGGTCTGATGAACAGTAGATACACAAATGTTGAAAATATAAATCTATGTATGAAAACAAAACTAGTTAATATAACTTTACATATTTACTGAAAATAAGGACAGCTCAATATAGCAACCCTTTAAATGCATCAGATTATCATGTTTTAAAGACTACTATTAAATGCTGGTAAAATCATAAACTGTATCATTCAAAATTACACAAGCTTGAACATGAGATGCATAAACAAAATGAATAGCTGAATATGGTCTAATTCATTTACTACAGGTTACACCTAGATCAAATTCTTTTTTAAAAAATTCAAAATTAGATACCAGGCGTACAAAAGTAAAAACTAAATCAATTTTGCAAACCAAGTCAATAAAGTACAAACAAAACGCAAAAAATTATAATACAAATGCACTGATTAATCTGAGACAAAAAACCTGGCACATTTACAGGCATAAAATTTAGCATACCCATACACATTTCAATAATGTATTCTGAAAGTGTTAAAAGACTGAATTACAAGGAAAGTTTGATCTCTTTATAGATACTACTTAATATAAAAGTAGATTTTTAAGGTATATACTAAAAGTTTGCACTTCTAGTCCATCTATATGTACTATGAAAAAACAACCCACCCACTATTTCTTGTCACATGTTATAGAGAAGCCTAGTACAATATTTTGCTGCTGAAGAAATACACATGGTTACTGACATTCAGTAGTGACTAATGACAGCATACTGTGGCTTTGATGTGGATTATAATTTTCGAGGTAATGTTAAAATGTTTGAGAAGCCAAGAAGCTGTCCCTTGAGCAAAGGATCACTCTTTAACAGACCATGCATTTGACAGGTGTGGCCACCGCTGGGCCGCTTTTGCCTGCTTGCATTCAGTTACACTGCGTCTTAACGGTATGTGGGGGCTGGGATTGATTTTTCTTTTTCCCCCTACATGAATGTAGCTATTGATGAGGGAACAAAACAAAACAATTCGAAAGTACTGCTTGCAGACTGACCTTCATACATTAGGCATGGCACTGCTTTCTAGAAGCAACGGCTACCTGAAGAAATCAGGTGCCAATAAAAACCCATGTGCTTCATAAGGATTTTTTTTACATCAAATAATATATGATGTAAAGAAATAATCAGACCTATGAATCAGATCCCTTTTCTCAAAAACATTATTTTTAGGTGTTGATTTTTTTCCCAACTAACATTATTTGTTACAAAGCCATTAATCGTATTATTTCCCAAAATACCATTTGATGGAATGCTATACCCTTCCCTCTGGATCAAATACAACTAAAATAAGCTTTAAAAATCCTGTGTTAGAGATTGTTAGATTGACTTTGGAGCAAATCATTTAAAAATATTCTCACTTGCAACATGTTCAAACTGTAGGAGTACACCAAGGGCCACTCTAATTTAAGCACCTTGCTTATAGACCTGAACAGTTAATTAAAATGAAGTAAGGTGAGAATAGAATAGTGGCCTTCAACACGGACACCAAAGAAAAGGTCTTGGACAAAGGCTGTGTGACTCAGTGGGACCAATGGCTCACATTTGTAATCCTAGTACTTTCAGAGGCTGAGAGGGGAAGATTGCTTGAGCCCAGGAGTTTGAGACTGGCCTAGGCAACACAGTGAAACTTTGTCTCTACAAAAAATTAACTGTGTGTGGGGCATGTGGCTGTATTCCCAGATACTCAGGAGGCTTAGGCAAAAGAATCACCTGAACCCAGGAGGTCGAGGTTGCAGTGAGCTCTAATCATGCCACTGCACTATAGCCTGAGTGACAGAGTCAGGCCCTAACTCAAAGAAAAATAAAAAATGAAGACTGTGCTACCTAGCAGAGTGGACTATCCAATCCACTTGCAGTTACAGTCCTTGTTGTAAAATGGCATTCTAGCTTTTAATCGCTCATAAGTAGTCATACCATCTTTTCCATAAACAGCTCTCAGGCATTCTCCCTGCCCTCAAGGAACTTACAATGTGAATGTGGTTGAGATCAACAAGTAATTATCTATGTCTAAGTGCTATGCTACAGTGAGCACACTGCAGCACGGAGAGGAAAGTCCCTTGACCCAGCTAGGGGTGGGGGACGTGTGGCAAATATATAAGGAAAGCTTTATAAATAAGGTCAAAGCAAGGTGGCAAGTGGAGGAGAAGGAGTGCCACAGGCAGAGTAAACCTGTGCATACATCTAGAAGCAACAAACAGTATAGCAATGTTCAGAGAAATCCAAGTACTTCAATATGGCTCAAGCTTCTCTAGAGTACAGGAGAGAAGACTAGGGAGAGATGACACTGGTCAAATAACCAGGAAAAACCTTATGAGTGGCATAAAGGCATCTGAGCTTTAACACCAGGGCAATGGGTCCACATATACACAAACACTCCTCCACCAGCCCCCAACCCTGATGATCAAGTGTAGTCTTTCTTAACAAGGGGAATAAACATTAAATATAAACTTAAAATGTATTTTTCAAGGAATGTTTTCCTACCTGCCAAGCCTTGAGTTCAGGTTTCTGGGATTCCCCTGCTACAATTGGTGAAACCACTAACACCTAAAGCAGTATAAGGAATGCAAGTGATGTCATTAACTATAACAAATGATACACAGAAGCCTGAACGCAGGACTTTCACTGCAGGACTTCTGAACCCATTTCTAAATAGTTAGGTTAGTTCAAATAGTGAAAACCACTTTCAAAAATATGGTCTTAAGTAGTAACTAATGCATCTAACCAAAGGTACATTTTGAGCTATGACACCTGCAAAATTTAAGGAGACAAAGCATGGAAAAAGAAAGTCCACCCTCAAAAGAAAAACGTGACCACTAAATGCAACCCCATTAAGATCTGTCACTGTGAATAAATTGAAAAGTATGTTATCACTTTGGTTTGTAATATCTCGTAAGCTGGCAATCAGATTTGAAAAAAATGGAACATGAATAACCTATGAGCTTAACCAGAGAAACTCCCAAAACACGAACTGCAACATCTGAGTCCAAGAAAATAACTTTTAGTGTAATTCATAGCAACAAATAATTCTTACCCTCTGTACTTTTGTACTGTTAGGTTGAGAAAAATGGGCGCTGTTTTCCTTTATATCTAAATGTTTTTTTTCTTCTGATGGATTAGGTCCAACCCTTGAATTATTGGAAGGTAGGGAATTTGGTGGCATAATTTCCTTGGTAACAAACACAAAACACAAAAAAGAAAAAAAGGACCAATTTTTAAAATTGTATCTAGCTTCATTATTGTATCAATGGTCACATTTTAAGAATGTAAATTATTATAAACAGTGTTCACATATAAAATTACACAATGCAAAAATTATGCAGTAAAAAACCCCAAAGGATTTAACTTCAGTTAAGAATCTTTTAACAAAAAACAGCTAGACAATATGTGGAGACTATGGCACTCTGAAGGGATGGTATCTTAAAAGTATTATTGCACAGAAGAGCACACCATCACCTCCTCACCCCATACAAATACTTTAAAAGTCACTACCAAAAACATGAGGATGGGGAATAGGTATCATGCTCAGAAAAAAACTTAAAAGCACACACTAAACACATACCACACTATCCCCAAACTAAAAAAGTCAAGGGATAAAAGCCAGACCTAACCTGTATTTAGTTTTGTCTTTGTCAGCACCATTAACATTTGAAAAGTGCTTTACAAAGCATGTCCACATATTATTTCATCAAGTTGTCATTAACACCTGGCGATGTATATTTCATATTTAAAAATTTATGACTACTCATCTTAAAGATTAGGAAATAAAACATAAAAAGCTTAAAGTGACTAATCCAAAGTCACAGAATTAGAGCAGATCTCTGTAACTATGAACCATTATATATATCAGGCATGTTTGATACTCAGAATATTTATGTTTGCATTATGTGCATACTATACATGTCTTTAATATGTCAAATAAAACAAAAAACTTTTACTCTTATTAAACAAACCAAAAGCATTCACACTATAACATACCTCTTCTTGTGGGACGTTTTTCTCATTTTCAGCCTCAATCCTCACCCTCACAACTCCTGATTTGTCCACAATCTCCTGAATCAGTTTCCCATTTTTTCCTATTACTTTGCCTAAGAAATGAATAAATTCATGTTTGATTTTAAAAACACACGCCTCAAACCAGTAAGCATACTCCCACTGTAAATTATCACATTCAGGTAGACAGATTGTAAGATTTTAAAACCAAATTAGAGACTCTTCAAGAAGACAGCTAAATTAATTTTCTGTTTAATTAGGTCACCATTGTTTAAACTCCTTTGGTCAGGTACTAGATTTGATTAATATTTGCAAACTGGCTAATTTTGAATTTTTAAGTCAGTTCAAAGATAGCCTCTTATTTTGCATAAAAAGATATGCTTTAAACTGGCTGGTAATATGGTATTTATCGCTCTTTCTGCAGAGTTCTATAAAATGAATTAAGAAAAAGGAGGATAGATAATAGTAAGCATATTCACTTATTCAACAATTTCAATTCTTATCTGTACCTGATTAAAATCTGCTTCTTTGGCCATGGTAAATATTTTTAGAATTCTGTATGGCACATTTATAAAAGATGCTCTGTATAAAAGTGGCATACACAGCTATACATACATCTAAGAGGAATAAAAATTCTTCAGGTCAGTGTGTTAACAGAATATTACTTCCATGCATTATTCACAAATTACAGCAATATACTAGAAGGGGACAGAATTAATCACAGAATAAAAGATTAAGAAAACTCATTTTAAGATAACCCAAACCCATGATGAAAAACTTTAAAGCAGTTTAAGTATTATTCAATAACATCTGTTAAAACTCCAAAGACTTCAAGTACTAGTAATAAATAGGTACTTGATTCTTTCCCTCATTTTATAAAATTCAATCATATATACTACCTGGGAAATGGTTGCTTTCACAGCCATCATCACACATTACTATAAAGCAACACATTACAAATCTAAGAACTACTGATTCTAGAAATCTACATGCGAACTACTTCTGATTCCAAGGGTCCATCCAAGAACCCTGTAAGAACCCTTAGAGTGGCCACATCCATCATGTGCTTGCCTCCCCCCGCCCCAAAGCAGGCAGACTTAGGAAAAAAATGGAAGTCAAAATTTGCTTTGAGCCAATCCTAGATAAGAATCCAGCGAAAAGCATTTTCACAGTGGCTCTTGCAATTAGAGCACAGCCGTGGCACTCTTGCTATGTGGGGCTGCCTCACTCACCTCTATAACCTCTTTTGACTGGTCAATGGTCAGGAAACAGAACTGACACCACTAAATCAAGACTCTTGATCTAGGTCCTTTTGTCAATTATTTCTGCTTTTCTCCTCCTCAAATGTAAAGGGGAGAGGTAGAGAGGAGAAGCCACCTGGAGTCTTCCTAGTTTGTTTTGATTCCATAACATTTATATTTTCATGAAATAATGATTTTAACGAAGGTCTAAATGAATTAACAAAATGAAAAACGAGATTTTGGTATTGTTTCTACTAAGATATTATCTTAACTATACCAACCACTCTTTGCTATAGCTAATTGAACAGTTAAACCAATTCAACTATAGCTAATTGAACAGTTAAACCAATTCATTGTCAAAGTGGGTGAAGAACAAAGGCAAATCAGTGTACAGACTAAAGAAAGTCTGTACAAAACAGAGATCATAAATCATATTGGGAGATTTAAATAAAACTCATGTGGTACTGATTATGAGAGCTCCCTAACAATCTGCCTTGCCAAATCTTACACAAATATCTTCCTGAAAATTTCCAACATTCCCCAGGGTTGCAGCGGACAATCTCCAAAACAAAATTCTCTTATTTTACTAACAAGAAACAACAAAACAAAAACCAGGCTGATTTACTTCAGCAGGCTGTTTACTACTGGGATCCTCTTCTTTCCAGGTAAGATCACAGGTAGAATATACTTTCAATATTTAATAGCAAAGAATCCATTTCTACATTACACAGTTATTTCCAAACCCCAAAGAACAATTTACTACAATTCTGCTCTACTGAAATGGAGTTGTTTTGAATAAGGTGAAGGAAAGATAACAGCCCCCTACTATGTCCAGAATTGTGCTAGGTACTTCATATACCTTTCCACTTAATTATCACAGTTCTGTGAGGTAGATACTATTATCCATGTGTTTGATAGGTAAGAAAAAGACTTAAGGGCCTAAGTCAGTTTCCCAAGGTCACACAACTACCAAAAAATGAAGCAGAACTAAAATCAAAATTCAACTCCAATGCCCAAGCACTTCCCCACCTCCACCATCATGCCACCTCCAAAACCAACTTTAATGATCTGATATATATCTCTATCCATTGGTATTAAGATATATGTGTGTATATGTATATATACATGTGTGTGTGTGTGCGCACACACACAAACACACATATAAAATATATATGGGTTCTATTTTCATAAGAATTCCTAAATTTACAATAACACTTCTAACTCAAAACTGTATGCAACTGCTTTACAAATTGTGAAAAAGGAAAACGATATCACTCACCACCCCCACTGGCCTGAGATAAGCATTTCACCTTGTGCTATGCATACATTTTATACATATACAACTGGTGTGTAAGCAACCTCAGTAATATTACACAGTCATGTTCTCTAGCTGTCTGTGGTATATAGTTGAGTTAATAATTCTGCATTATTTCATTATTTGTACTTTATCTTCAGGTTAATTTTCTTTGGAAGAAAAATATTCCCAGTGTTTTTTAACAACACAGGAAGATGTGTATGATTCTATGCTCACAAAAAAAGCAGGCTAAAGTAGCACTGAAACTATGTAAAACCATGCATGAGAAGTCTTCATTTTCTTCTTTAAACTTTCCAAAGAATATGTGTTACTTTTGATAAACTGTCATGATCTCAAGTTACAAATATTAAAAATGTACAGGCAGTATGTCCCAATTTTAAATTAAAAACATGTTATTCTTGATACAATTTCACCTGGTTTTTGATATGTTCCACTAAAGATATCTGCAGCATTTGGGAAAATTGGTGAAGAGTTCCTAGATAGTTGCTGATACTCATGATGGTATGGTCATAAAACACAATACTGAAGTCAAAATGAAGAATTACTATTGACTATGCAGAAAATCTAAGACACATTTGGAATTTCTTCTAGCTTTGAAGCTTATTATATTTAAATTACCTATGTCCATATCTTTAATCCTGAGATAATTCAAATGAATGCTATCATTTTATTGCACCATTAGGGAGATCAAATACCAATCTAGTCTAAATTATAAAGCTCCAAATATCACACAATTTGAAAAAAGTACACTCAATTTTAAGACAAAAAATATACAGCAAAGAAGCTGGGCAAAATCTATCTCTTCAGGCATTAGTAGGTTTGAACTAGCAAAGCAATCTCTTTTGCATATCTTCTGAAAATGTAATCTTTGAGTGCCATACTTACCAAGTATCTTCTGTGTGCTGTAGTAACAAACTATATTTCAAAGATTATGTTTCACATAAATGATACCCTCCAGTGAGAAAAAAAATGGAATTCTATTGGTATAAATAAATTGTAGACCTAAATTTTGCTTTAGTAATGTATGTCAACAGATATTTCTGACTCACCTACTAAGTTCCTTGGAACTTGTATGACATCTTCAGCAAATTCAAGAAAGCTTCTAGCCTTTTTCACTGCATCCTGATCCTAACAAAAAAGGGGAAAGTTTTCAAGACAAAAGATTAGCTAGCTGAAATTCTAATTTTGGGCGGAAAAACTATTAACTAGAATATTTACCTCTCCATAAATATGAAATGTGCAGGTATCTTCATCTAGATCAATAGCAGTGACCCCAGGTACTTTTCTAGCTTGTTGAATATTAGCACCATGAGTACCAATAGCTAGACCCATCAGATCTTCTCGTACGATAAACTGTTCATGAAACCTTGAGGCAAGCTGCCTTGAACTCTGAAGAGGAATAAAAGTCTGATAAATATGCTTCTTCAACTAGTAAGACAACTGTATTTAGGCCAGACATGTAAATTATCTTGACCCTGTGTATCAGGGGCCTATAAATTAGTTGTAGTAGAAAACTAACAGGTTTTAGAAAACATCTCTCACGGTCTAAGTACTTTTTAGGTTATGGAAGATCTACACCATTTTTTTTTTTTTTTTTTTTTTTGAGTTGGAGTCTCACTCGGTCGCCCAGACTGGAGTGCAGTGGCCGCTCCCGGCCACCGCAGCCTCGCCTGCTGGGCTCCGGCGATCCTTCCGCCTCAGTCTTCCGAGTAGCCAGAATTACAGGCGTGCGCTACCTCGCCCGGCTGATTTTTTGATTTATTGTAGAGATGAGGTCTCGCTGCCCAGGCGGGTCTCGAACCCACGGACTCAGGCAATCCACTCACCTCAGCCTCCCAAAGGTGCGGGATTACAGGCTGAGCCACTGAGCCCGGCAATCTACACCATTTTATGTATGTTGTTGGTCTATAGGAAAGAGCTTATTGACATTTCCCAAGGTAACTTTTGAAAACCTATTTGTAGGGCTGCCTTAGTTAGCCAATGGCATCAACAATGTAATAATTAAGTAAATCAAATGTTCCCCAATAAAAATCAGCTCATTGGGTCTGACAGACTCAATGCTGTTTATTTAAGAAAAAAAAAAAAAACCCAAACTGAAAATACCATGTTTATAGAGAATTTTATTCACTTCATTTTTATTAAAGAATATCAGTATATATATTTTCTGGGAAGAGTGCTATTTTTATAACGTATCACTAGGTACTGTGATCTAAATATCTCTCTCTTGAAATGATGACATTAAAATGACACCCCCAAACCTAAGAAAAGTAATAAAAAAATTTTGGTACAATAAACTGAACAATCACAGAATGTCAAAAATTTACAATGTATTTTAAATATGTGTCTGAAACCTAAAATGAGATCAGAGTCTGTAAGACCTTGTGACCTGGATCCACAAGTATGACGAGCTCATTCAAATATTCAGCAATGATGAAACTAAGTTACACTGGCACCCCAAACCTGTGGATAATCCCTGTCTTTAAACAGCATTATAGAAATTTAATGTTTATTCTAGAATGCCATTAATGAAAACCAAACATATTAGTGGCTCATGTTGAAAAATGGGAATTTCTTATAGGAATATGTGAGTCTCTTTAATATTAGTAGTGAAAAAAGATAGGCATGCACACTAGTTTCTCATTATTTAACATCCCTGACCATTTAAATGAATGAATACAACTACGATAAACAATGTTAAAAGTACAACATTCATTTTTTTAATGATTACAGTAATAAAATGAACAAAATATCCCTAGGTCTTTTCAAGAAGTTGATTTTTTGAGTCCTGGTTCATTAACCTGTTAATTATTTTTAATGATAATTCACTGATAAATTATAAGCCCAAAGTATAGCAGATCATTTAAGAAGAGGCAAACATACTATAATTTCTGAGTATATTTCCATAATACTCACAATGAAAGTAAGGAGGCTGCTCTGGCCTAAAAGTTATGAGAGACTCTCTACAGAAGCCACAAAATTGTCAACACAGAACATCAAGAAGGAATGAGAGCAAAAAACAAACAGACCTCCATGGGCATAAGAAAAACAAAGCAGCTAAAGGAGATGAAACTTTTCTCCTCCTGCTAAGAATTCAGCATCACTCATCAAGTTGGAAGGCACCAAATTTCACAGGGTTTTATAAGAATACAGCCTTGATTACCTTATCTCTTAAAATGCAGTTTGGAATTCCTTTTTTTCTTTACTATTTCAATTGTATGGTGTTTTCCCTTTAGTGAAATGAATAATGAGGAGGAACTCTGGAATTTGACAGTAATATACTTGAGTTGGCACATTAAACAAAAATCCATTTAGTTTCTATGGTAATGGATGGAAGTACTAGATTGTTATCAATGAAAATAAATGCATGGCGATGAAAATTATTGGAAGATTAATAAAAGCAGTTAAAATGCACCTTAAGAGACGAAATAGTAAGTTAGGGAAATAGCCTCTGGCAGGAATCTGAAGACAGGAATTTTAAAGAGTGACAACGAATTAGAATGAAGAAGTTCTATACCCTTTTAAACAGAGATAAACATACATAATGAAAGGAATATGATTAGATATTTAAATACTCTCTAGTACTTTAATGATCACGTTATATGGAAGAAGCATTGCCTCATTTTATTAGTAGCTTTGACAGACTTCTAGTAAAAGTGACCTCACCAGAAACCCCTTAATATACATAAACTGCTACTTAATTTTGAAAATTCAGGCATGACAACTTTGTATGATTATACTTTGCACAGTTTAATTTTCCAAACTATAGAATATAAGGAATTGCTAAGAACCGTATATAAACAATAAGCTACCTATATTCAAGTTTTGGAATGGTATAGCTACCACTTCTAGACGGCATTACAAGCTGTGCTAGGGAAAGTGACATACCTCCAGCTGTTTACTGGCTTCTTCATTTCTCAGTATCAGAGACAACTTAGTGCGCAGACTCCGAAAGTGCATGTCAATCAGCATATGTGCTCGTTTTGAGGTGACTTCATTGATGGACTAAATGATTTAAATTCATAACATTATTATCAAAGCAAAACGCCCCAAATGAAACAAAGCAAAAACAGGCAATGCAAATACACTCACCAAAATGACAAGCTGATAATTTTCTGGATCGTAAGTTACAGAAAAGGCACCAACTGCCTTTTTAAAGTCCTTATGTGCCGATTCTTTGGCACACCTAGAAATGAAAAGCATACTGGCATAAACATATGCAGATCGACACTTAGAAGAACCATGGATTCATATTAAATTTGACTTATGTAAAATATGATCTATTTACAAGTTTAGCTCGTTTTCTGTATATCTCTGAACTATTCGGCCAAATCAAACATTTAATTTTATAGAGAAAGACTTAAAAACTGTTAAGCTATTACCGGTGGGTTTAATTACCAAAGGAGACACTCTACTCTGCAGGTCTCCTTATTTTACTTACATATGATAAGTCAGTAGCATTTGAGTCAACTGTTGAAAACTCTGAGACTAGCTACAGTGTGTCTGATCTTGTTTTGTTGTTTCTTTAAAAAGAAAAAAAAAACCTGCTTAGGCTAGGCAACAGAGCGAGACCTATCTCTACAAAAAATTTTTTAAAAAATTAAATAGGCACAGTGGTGCACGCCTGTAGTCCTAACTACTTGGGAGACAGAGGTGGGAAAATTGCTTGAGCCCAGGAGTTTGAGATTACAGTGAACTATGATGGTGCTACTGCACTCCAGACTAAGTGACAGTGTGAGACTCTGTCTCTAAAAAGAGAAAAAGAAAAAAGAAAAAGAAAAACTGCTGACTAATTTAAAGGAGACAAAAAAATATATGTATATGAATGAGAAGGCACAAAAATTTACACACACACAATCTCTGGAATCACAAAAGAGGATTTCTATGTATTCTGACCTGCAATTTAATGTTTATCTGAGGCGCAACATGTCCAAATCAAACTTACTAAATTCCCTTGATAAAATCGTTAAAAAGAAACCTCTTATTTAAAGTCTTTAAGCATTATTCCAGATCAAGAATTATAAGACAGAGATGACCTGTTGTAACTTCCTTAGCTCTGCTTACTACATATTTATCTGAAAACATTTTAGCTAAAAGAAAAAAAAAAAAATCACAGAAATCTATGTAGTCTAGAATTCAACTTGTGATTTATGACAGAATAATCAAATTTGTTTTATCAGTTTCAAAATCATAAAATTCGGGAACAAAGTTAGTTTATTTTTTTTTAAAGTGTACATTATGTACATCAGCCAAGTTTTTGGGCAAGTAAATTTAAACAAGTGCAAGGCTGGTTTGTTTATATAACTAAGAAAAGCTAACTAAGTTTTTCCCTACTACTTCTGCAAACCAAACCATTTTTGCCGAAGTTCACTAAATTTTAAAAAATCAATTTCTAGCTGGGCTTGGTGGCTTAGCCTGTAATCCCGCGCCTTTGGAGGCTGAGGTGAGTGGATTGCCTGAGCCCACGGGTTCGAGACCCGCCTGGGCAACTTGGCGAGACCTCATCTCTACAACAAATCAAAAATTAGCCGGGCATGGTAGCACACGCCTGTAGTTCCAGCTACTTGGAAGGCTGAGGTGGAAGGATCGTCGGAGACCAGCAGGAGGTCGAGGCTGCGGTGGCCGGGAGCGGCCACTGCACTCCAGTCTGGGCGACAGAGTGAGATTCCGACTCAAATAAATAAATAAACAAATAAACAAGCAAATAAATAAACAATCAACTTCTGCTATTTTAAAATGCATATGTTTTTAAATTAATTGCATATCACCTGTAAGGTCTTGGCATTTATTGTGTACCAACTTACATTTGTCGTAAATCTTCTGGGACATCCAGTTTGATCTTATGGAAAGTATCTTTTGTGGCAGGTTTGTTGGGATTAACTGATCGTAGACGTTCAATTGTGACAATTTCGTTATAAGTAGCATCACATGCTGCATATTCTATCACATAAAACTGAGAGAAGCAAATAAAAGTCATTCCTAGTCACAATTTTTAAAATAAGAGCAAGAACCTATCCCTATTCCGTTATTTCAAAATAAATTCTCTGTTGGAAAAAAAAAAAACTTTAGCAATGGAAACACATAAAACATACTTAACACAAAGTAAAAACTTTTTAATAAAATGACTCAAAATAAGGTATTACTTCACAAAATAGAAATCCAGGCTGAAATGCAGAACCTGGGTTTAGAAAAGGGAAACAGTAAAAAATGAATTTTAAATAAGCTTTTTCCTACCTCACCCTTTATCATCCTCACTTTAGCTAACCACCAACAGCAAGGCTCTTTTTCATTTGCTCTGGAGTAAACCTAAGCAAAAATTACAACAAAGAATATTTCATGATTAATATTAATTTTGAAATGTATAGATGATCAGACATTGAGAAAATTTTTGCTAAATACCCCAGGTGTCTTTCAAATCACATGCCATATACCTTCAACCAAATTGTACCCCTGTCTGCACGCTGAGCCAGACAGAGATACACGATCAGAAACCACCCAAGACTGCCTAGGAGTACCCTGTAAAAAAGCAGTTTTCCTACTTCTCTGTTTGACTTCAATAATAATTAGCACTCTGAACACAGGCGCTCAAGAGAAGCTGACCATTCATAAACATAGACATACTTTTTTGGGGTACTTAGTGAACTACAAAAATGTATCTAAAAATGTACAAACTTGTTTTTGTTTTATTCTCAAAAATTGATTCAAAGTTAATAACCATGGCCTACTGCCTGGCTGCTTGGTCATTAAATGGATAAGACCACTGACCACTCAGCCCACTAAGAATACCATCCTCGCATTCATATCTCCTGGGAACTAAACAGACAGATCCTTGGTCACTCTCTGGTCTCCTGCTTCCTCCCCACTAAAAGGGTCAACTCCACAGTGGCAATCCTCTGGATACCACCTCCCTGTTCTCACACACTGTGGCTCAGTTCTCTAACCGATCTCTTGATTGACCACTTCAAAGTTCACTTACAATGTACAGCATGGAACCTTTTGTGAGGGCACTAGCAAATCAACGTTAACAGGAAAATAGACAATACAGTACACAAGAAGAAACAGAAATATTCAGAAGCAGAAAGCACAAGGGGGATGGGGAGGAGAGGCCAAGAAGGTACAGTGTCTAAGGTTGTCAAGCGAGTCAAGGCTCAAATGTTTGTCTCGTCTCCCTTTTACAACTGAAGCTGAGTGACTAAACACAACTCAACCTACCTTTCCCTCTTGCCTCTCTCTCTCTCAACTCTGCTCTAGCCAGAGAAATAACCTCAGCTAATTGTTATGTAATACAGTGAAGTCACCCTAGCAACAGTGCCTCATTGGTTCCCACTTGTCAGGTGACTAAGCTGGAGGGAAGGGAAGTCACTCCATCAAACACTATCATGAGTACTCCTGATAAAATCAGACCAAAGACCTGGGCCTTCTCTTCAGAGAACTGATGATCTTTTGGGGAAGTAGACAGCTAAGTATAGACAGTGCTCCCAGAGCCCCTGTCAAAACAAACCCATTTGCTTACACCTAGTAGGTATTGGGTACATGTGGGTAAATAAATAACACATTAACCTATTTTCACTTTGTAGAGAAAAAAACACAGGCCTGGACGTTCAGAAACCTTTCCCGACCACTCTCTGAAACAGCATTCATGCCCCTATATCATCTTCCATCCTCTGCTTTTTTCCTTCATATGACTTACACCTGCCATATTAGTTATTGTCACTGGAATGTGACCTCAAAGGTAGAGGACTCTGTCCTGTTTCCCTGCACCTTCAGTACCGAGTGCAGTAAATAAGAATTCAATGGCCTAGAACCACTTTGTCTTGCCTGTCCAAATGTTTACTTAGCTGCTTCCTTCATAGTACAAATATTCATGAAGTTGCAACTAATGCAATTAAACAAGGTATTGTGCTTAGTATTGTGGGGAAAGAACAGAAGCAGCTCAAGATGAAGTGTGTGAAAGGGTAGGAAGGAGAGAGAGGATACTGCACAAACTACATAAGGCACTATTAGTAAGTGCCTTAAGTACAAAACCAATTTCCAATGGAGAAAGAAATAATACACATCATGTCTCTGTTCATGTGTTAGGTCTTCATGGCACCTTTTGGTCAAAAAGCTCAGTGGCAGACAAGCAGGTGGTTCACAGGTGGTACCCTGCAAAAAGGATGTTATAACCTATATGTATAAACTAAGGCATGTAGGTTTTAAAAAGGGAAGATTCACTGCTACTTCAAGAAAATTTTCATATACTGCTCTATAATGAAGCATTATTTCATCCCTGTGTAAAATTAATTTTCCTACTCTATTTTGCTTAAAATGGGGACACAGCTGTAGAGGAATAATACAATATTCGACCAAAGATTCAGAGATTGAGGAAAGGGGGAAAAGAAGCACTAGTGGGCAAAGGAACTTGGGGCAATGATTTTCAAAGATATGCCCTGAGTGCTGTTCAAACAGCCAAATTTACACATCACGTATCATTTCCAATCATTATTAAGATGGGATGGTCTCAATGGTACATATCCATCTCAGTTACAATTCTCAAGGTAATTTCAATAGCGCTAAAGACAAGGAGTTAAAAAAAAAGCACAGGTAAATTAAATACCCCCAACTCCCTCGATACTTAATATCTTTGTGGCAGGGGAAACTCACCTCAACTTCATCACTTTCGTTTATATCTTTATTATAACCTACAGGAGGTGGGAATCTCACATCATGGAATGGAATCTGCCTCTCTGGTTGCCAGCTGTAAATAAGCACACATAAAATCACTGAATATGCTTTTAGTTTTTACAGAAACTATGACCACGGTCATCAACTTTTGATTAAGTATGACCCCCTCTTTTTCTAGTTAAAAGAAGCAAATGCTTTAAAATGGTCAGTTTCTGCTAAGTGGGGCATAATGACAATATAGGAACATTTCAACAAAGTCTGCATGCAGCACAGCAGCCTTGTACTTCCATTTGGAATATTCCACTTGGAATATTTCTCTAAACAAAATAGAGCAACATTATGATTTTCAAAAATCTTTCTTTCAATAATTTCAACTTCTAAGAGTTTTAAATGTAAGATCACAACAGAAATTTCCTTCAATGTGTAAATAAAATATGTTAGTATCAGTAATTGTTAGTAGTATCAATATACTTCCACTTGCAAAGGAATCTTAACCACATTCCAAGAACCACAGAAACTGCCCTCTAATTCCCAAGCAAAATGGGACAGTCAGCACATTAGCAACTTCACAACTCACTTTTCCCCCTTTAAATTTTAGATCCCACGAGGTGGTCAATTCTTGCCACGGGTAGCTGGCTGCTGATCAGTATGATGCTATCAGCATGTACTGGGATGGTAGGGTCGCCTAAACCATAGAAACCCGATGGAGACAGCCTATAGGAGTTTGATTAAGTTGCCTAGTCTTAATTTTAAGAGCTATGAACAACTTTAAAAAATGTCAAATTATTTTTATATCCACAAAGATACAAAATGTTAAAAGACAAATTTTGCTAAAGCACTGAGAATTCAACTGCTGGAGCAGTCACTTCTGGGTTCTTTTTGGGGTGTTTCACCAGCTAATATTGAGATCTGTTCTATGCAAAATGTCAATGTTTTGTTAAAGGGTTTTCTGAGTAAAATTCTATTAAGAAAAGTAGGAATTTGTTGTTTTTAAGAAGAGCTCTTATAGAAGAGGGCAAGTAATTAAGTCAGAATTTGTAGAAATTGGATCAGGGCATAAATTAGACTGAACCCTTCCTCTGAATTATTATATACAGTTAACAAACTATACTTTTTAAAAAACTGTCTTTACTTCAGAAAAAGTTTTTAATACTTATTGAAAGTTTGTAACTTTAAATGTGTCATAAATTCATTGCTAAATTTAATGTATAAAGCATATAATAAGCCGGGCTCAGTGGCTCAGCCTGTAATCCCGCGCCTTGGGAGGCTGAGGTGAGTGGATTGCCTGAGCCCGCGGGTTCGTGACCCGCCTGGGCAACTTGGCGAGACCTCATCTCTACAATAAATCAAAAAATCAGCCGGGCGTGGTAGCGCGCGCCTGTAGTTCCAGCTACTTAGAAGGCTGAGGTGGAAGGATCACTGGAGCCCAGCGGGTCGAGGCTGCGGAGGCCGGGAGCAGCCACTGCACTACAGTCTGGGAGCCAGAGTGAAACTCTGACTCAAAAAAAAAAAAAAAAAAATGCATATAATAATGCATAATACAGTTTTTTTTGGTTGCAAAGATGGAAGAATTACTTTAAGTCTAATTTTAAGTGTATAGAGATAAAAACTCACAATTATTGTTAAAAGATGTGAAATTTGGAAGCACCTTTATGCTTTATGGAAGCTTTGGGAAGCACCTGAAGGCAAGCAATCTGGTATCATTAACACAGGTTTCTTCATGACCGAAATAAAGGGTAGATATCAACTGAAGTTCTTTAGAACACTGTTTCTGTTTCATTTTATTTTGTTTTTAACAGAAAAACACACACAGAAGGAAGGGCAAAGACACTACTTGGTAGGAATCTATTAGATCCTGGTGGTGTGCTCAAAATCAGTATTGTATCTCAAACATACTCCACAAACACAAGGAAAAACAGATGATCTATTTCAAGTTCCCAGGATGACAAAAAGCTTGAGAAACTTTTACGTGGATATAGTATAGCTGATACATAATCAATAAGGTATGAAGATGAAATAACTTTAAGTTTATGGTAGAAATCTGACTGAAAACCAAAGAGAATTGATCTGATAAATCAAGGTATAAACTAGATAAATTCTTAAATGCATAGAGGAAATGAGTGCTTGCATAATATTTTAATATAGACTCACAAACAACTAAAAGAGTGGCAAAGAAAGATAACTTTCTTTTGTATGGGAAACAGTGTTTACCTGTTGATGAGAATAAGTAAATAGGTAAGAGTATAATTACAAGGAAGAAAAACAGTCTCCAAGTTATCAAAGATTCTTCCGTTAGAGGTGCGTTGTTGTTTACTGTATAATCATGAATACTTGACATAGTAGAGAGGCAAATTCCTGAAACCTTTATGCCTTTATGTATTCAGATAAATATATTCTACTTTTATTTTGGACTGAGATTATTACTCTAGAGCTGGAAATAAGGGTTGGATATTCTCAATCCTTTTATCTCTGTCTCCCTAAATGTGTCTCAGGCATCTAAGGATACTGGTTTGTCCTGCTGCTAGCCAAAAAAAATCTGCTAACAGTCTAATTATAAAATTTATTCTCTAGACACTGAAATGCAGGCCTGCTTTTAACTTTTTTTTAGAAGCAAGATGTTTTTATTTATTGTTCAATATGTCTGGGTCATATACCATATTTTAGCAGATTAATATATAATTCACATATCACAAAATTCATCAACTTAAACGCACAATTGCATGGCTTTTAGAATGTTCACAGACATGTACAATCATTATCAGTCAATTTTAGAACATTTTCATCATCTTAAAAAAAAAATCCAGCCGGGTTCGGTGGCTCAGCCTGTAATCCCGCGCCTTTGGGAGGCTGAGGTGAGTGGATTGCCTAAGCCCGCGGGTTCAAGACCCGCCTGGG